TTAGTTCCAGGCTTTCATCGCAAACTTTACCAGATTTAAAGACTCGGGGTTATTTAATAAAGAGGTTAGGTGCTCTCTCGTCAACTTGGGCAAGCCTATATGCCGTGATTGGAATTCCGTTAAAACTGGGCATTCTGCTAGAAAATGAAAACAATTTTCTCGAGCCTGCCTGTTGCAGAGAGAGCACCTATTGGAACTATTGACTCTTGTGGGGTTATAATTAAGGTACAGTAACTCGCACCTAATTTTGAAAAACCAGCGAGCTAGCGGAATGGACGGAATTTTAGAATTTTGCGCTATGTTCAAGAAAGGTTGACTGATATTAAGGTCCTTAAACAGCAAAAACCTAGAAGAATTTTGAGTATGAAGGAGACATTTCACTCTATGAGAAGTGCGGATATTGTTAATTAATTTTGAGTGTAAAAGTGGCCACTCTTTGAAATTGTCGAGGGAAAAATTTTCATTCAGCTGAAATTGTTGAGCCAAGTTATTCCAGGAAGAGAACCATGATATTTTGGACCTTATGATTTCCAGCGCTGTATTCTTAGGAAGGCGGTAGTTAGGAAGGTTTAGAACCCTGCAGACATAGGAAGTATATAAATGTAATGTAAATTGAAACAAAAGTTCAGCAAAGGTCTCGAGGTAGATCATGTAGTTAGGCGTGAAAGAAGGGAGGTGATGAATTTTACGGATAAAATACTAGCAAATATATTTAATCCTAATATACACAAAAATAAAAAATACTATAAATCTATTAAGTACTATGTTTAATAAAACCAAATTGTTGCAAAAATCGGAAGAGCATACCCAAAGAGTTGCAGCACATGACTGATGTCGGGTAGCAGCCCAAATAGCTCTTAGGAGTCGACGAATGATAAATTTCAATTCAATGGAACATATCGAGCAATCTTTTTCTACACGCCTGACACATACGCGGTCTTTGGCTCAAAGACAAGGTGAGTACATCACTCCTTCCATTCAGATACTTCCAGGACCCCCTTCGTCATCCCAAGCGCGTACCAAATCGCATACACCTGCGTACCTAAAATTGATTAAATAATTTTATCGATTATTTATTGATTTATTACTTTTTACGTTTTGGCATAGGTTTCGCGCTAAAGTTGTAAATTTGTCACAAAAAGTTAATTTGACATAAAATAATCATTACTTACAATTTGTTTTATTTTCATTTAGATGGAATTTTTGTTTAGATATCTGTAATGCAAAGTTATGCCCGGTTCATTGTTTTTGATATACCATACCGATATGAAGACTAACACGGTCAATTGACTATTTAATTGTAGTGGATATTTATTGGGCCCACATTTTCGTCTGTTAATTCTTTTATGTATTTTATTTCTTGTAATCCTTACTAGAAGTCTAGGACCTTTTGTTTGAATCAACTGTCTCTTTGTTTTGTAGCAAACAAGGCTCTACACGGTAAATTTTTTGCAACCTACATAATATTTTTATACTTTTTTTTGGAATTAATATACTTGATCTTCTGGCAAGATCAAACTCCTCTTCGTATTTTTAACAAAGAAGTTCTTGTTACATTCATTACAAATAGTTATAATTTATTATTAATATCATAAATTTTGTGTTCTTCCTTTATTTTCTTAATGAGCTTTTATTATTAGCTTAATTTTAAATTAATGTTTTTTTTAATATCTGTAGAGCGATATCCATCTCTATTTCTAACATTAGCTAAGAAGATAAATGTTTTATATCCAATATATACAAAAAATTTATATTTTCTTTGTAATTGCTTGTCTTTTTGAATGTCTTTTGAATTTTATTGACACCATTTAAATTTAAAAGTTTCTATTTGCTTTCAATTGAATTATGTTATTACTCGTTTTTCCCTACCACTGGATGGCTACAATATATAAATTATTTTCCTGCTCTTTTAACCCGTTTGCTATAAGAGTTAGTTTAATTGAAGTGCAAAAATTTTCCTCGTTATATTTCTACTTCAACTTTACCTTTTTAGAGCCATCTCCCTCTCTTTTCACAAAACGTTTCAATTATGAATTCTGCATTTCCAACTCCCTCAACCTAGAATTAAAAGTTGACAGGACACTGCGGACTTCTCCACGTTTTATACGAGTACAGATTCAATTTTTGATAAAACTGAAACCAATTGTTTGTTTTTCGACTGTTCACAAGGCTGATCATATTTGTGTTCAAACCTATAAAATTCCAAGACTGAAAACATACCCCACTGTTGAAAGGGTCCTATTCTCTTCAACCCATCGAGGTTCAATGAAGCGTCAAAGTCGTTAGAAACAAAAATAGAACTCTTTCCTTACACAAACGATTCACCCGTACAAGATAAATACGGCAGAGACAGCAAATGACTTCTTATTCGATTTTTGGCGGAAGAGAGACAATAAGCTCTTTATAAGTAAATATCAGAATTGTCACAACCGTCCGGGCAATTCCATATGAGTTCATCATCGAAAAGTAAGGATATGAAAAATAAACATTGGTTTGTATTTATCCTGTATACTTTAACATATAGTTTTTAATTGATTATTGTCATTATAAAACATTTTTTTATTCAATTTCTCAACAAGCCTACATCCATGTTTTTCTCATATTACATATTACCCGTGTTTTATGTTTTTTTTTAAACCCCTGCTATGTTCAAAGAGACTATACTGCAAAGCGGAGTAATATCAAAGAAAACAAAAAAGCTTTTTCCCGTAAAATGCGAACCTTATAAAATCTCGTAAGCCCTTGTTTGGAGGTATCTAAATTCTCAAATTGTGAAAGTGTAAAAATGTTTTGGTTTTACAATTCGAATATTACTACTTTATTGATTATTTCGAGATTGCGAGATGCGGTCTTGTGTGATGTAGATTTAGAAAAACATTTCCTTATTGTGCCAACGTTTCGATCTTTATTTAGACCATCTTCAGGGCTCATTGTGTGTATTTTCTGTGTAGAGTGTCACGGTTGTGTGTCGAGTTGAGAGTCTGACACATCTACACAGAAAATACACATACACCGTTGGCACGATAAAGAAAATGTTTTTCTAAACCTACATCACACAATACCGCATCTCATGATTGCCAACTAATCATTAATTAACGCTCACCAAATACTACATTATTATTTTAAGTCCTTTTTTATTCCTTTGCTCTTGATTTTCCTGAAAATTTTGTGGTTGTTGCAACCAAACATTTTATTCCTGATAACTTTTGTGTTTACATTATTGGCCTGTTGTTTTGAATTGTAAAACTAAAAATTATTATAAACAATTGCTTCTGTCTGCTTTGGTGAAAATATTTTCAGCTGGTTTAATGTGCTGATTGATAGATTATTTAAAGGCCTTTATGAAATATTATTTTTATATATTAACAGTGGATAATAACAAATCAAATATATACGGATAACATCGGGAGCATTCCAAGGTGACTCAGCGTGCTCCAATTTGTTTAACCTTTGCCCGACTAAAGTAGAGCCTAACAGATGGCTCAAGAGAAATATGCAATGATGGTAAAACATATTTGTGTCACAAAAACGAACAGCTAGCTAAGTGGACTAAGTAGGCAAAAAAATATTTTTGAAAAAAAACATGTTAAGCCTTTAATTACGAACTATTATAACCAACAGATAACTAAACAATTTGGGGCTTTATCAGTCTGAGGCAATTTTTATCATATTGGTCAACCAAAAAATCAATAGTTGGAATATTTCCTATCACCAATATTTAAGCCTATATAAACAATCTTTGATTTTTATGTCACTATAAGGGAGAAAAATAAATTTAAAAATCCTTCATTATTTTAATTTATATTTTCGATTTTGATTTACTTACTGAGCCCAGCTTTGTTCTATTCCTTTTAGAAGGAGATCGGCCTGTTTACGACCGATACGCACCGCGACCAATATTGTTTTCTTGTCCAATCGGGAAAAGGTTAGGTACTCTTCCCACCTTGTAAAGAGCTCTCTTCTACACATTGCTTGTTTTCGTTCAAAAGTAAAAATTTTAAAAATTTTGCTGGAACAAAATACCGGTGGTGTTTTGAATTTATGGGCAGATTACTGAGGAAAGGAATTGGAACGACAAACTAGCTAAAAGATGCTTATGGTAGAGGAATATATTGCACTATATTATTGTATTATTATAAACATCGAAATCGGGCCAAAATTGCCCATGCTGCTTATAAATTACTGTTATATCTGGTGATGATTCGGCCTATGGCACAGGTGCGGAAGATGCAGATAGCAGCAGAAAACTAGTCCGAAACATACAAAATCGCTGTCGTTTGAGAAAAACTCCACCCTGAAATGGTCCTAAGTCAACTTTCACGTAACCATTGTGAAAACAATAACAACAACGTTTTATAATAAAACAAAACATATTGGTTAAGTCAGATTCAGACGTCTTGAGGAAAGAGGGATTCAAAGATTGTCCGGAGGAAAATACTTACCTGACGGTTACTGTCTGACGATGGCACCATTGGGAGACGGCCGTTCAAACCGTTCACGCCATGTAATCTCTTACAGAACATTTTGTCATGTTAAATATTTTGAATATATTTGCAAATAAATGTAAACTAATAAAGAAAAATATGATCCAAACCTGGCTATAAATTTTAATTTTTTAAGCGGAATTCTTTTTACGAAAAAGTTAGTTAACTCTTTGCGACTCTTTGAATTATAAAACAATTATTCCTAACGATTATCCCATTTCCAAAACCAGAATATAGACAGTTATCAGCTTTAACTAAACGTGAAATTTAACGAGGAAGAGAAAATTGGTCGTAAACTCACCCCCGCAATAACCGGCCGCGGTCGTGAAACGGGCACAGTCGCGTGCTCGGATCGAAACCGATAATTTATCCACAGTAGGCCCAGGCGATGCCATGGAATAGAGACGAGATATAATATAGATGGTTAGAGGTGGTCTCCGACAGTACGGGGAGGGTGGTCCGCGCACCCTAATCGCCGGTGGGAACTCAGTTCGCCCTCGCCCTCAGTCGTCGTGTCGAACCCTTTACGAACGGATGTCTCTTCGATTCAGCACGTCTCATGGATGTCCTGGCTAACACGATTCACCGAAAAGACACAGGTATTTGCAATAGACAAATAAAAGCTAATTTGACAACTAATACCTTCATTTTTCAATTTTATCCATTTTTTAACTTCATCTCCTACAATCATTTATCGCTTCACCGTGAAATTAATAAACAGATATGTAGATAAAATCTTTATCGAGAGAAAAAATTATAAATAGTGCTAAAGAAAGATATAAACATAAAGAAGACATTCTTCGTCTAGCCTTTTCGTGTCTGTCGAGTCAACAATAACATCAATATTTGCGCTTAATCGACGCATACATATTATTAATGTAATTTTTGAAAGAAAAATAAAGAAATAGAAAATAGAACGTCAAAAATTTTAAAAAAAATACTTATTAACACATTGGCTATGAAGTTTTTTTTTTTTTTTTTTAATTAATTATTTGTTGATTTATTTATTTATTATTATTTTTTTTTGACAATGGATTATAAGCAACTGCTAGAGCTTTAATAAAATCAAAATTTTAAAAAATTAATACTACATTTAAATATTTTATTTAACTATACAATTGTAGCCAAATTGGGAATTATTAAGAAAGTACAATAAAAAAATATAGAAATATAGTTATTTTCATCAAAACTTACTTGGTCAAGGGCGGTTTTTCAAGGCAGTACCTTCTATTACTTATTGCACTACAGTTAAGAAATACGTTTAATAAATGTTTTTTGCAATAAACAAACAAAAAAATTTAAAAAATCAACTTCTGCTCAGAAATATTTTTTAATACAATGGTTTTCTTGATTGTATAATCAATCCAAAATATAAAATATATCAATACAAAATTTATTTAATTGTTCTCTCATAATTGGGGAGAAAGCATAAGATAAGAAATACAACAATACTGTATTAATAAAATTTGTTTATACTTTAATTTTGAGAGAAATTATCAGAAAGTACAATAAATTTTTTTAGAAATATTATTTTTTATCACAACTCAATAGGTCTAGGGCTAGGGCATTTTTTCGAGATATTTGAGTCTATCCAGTCTACTAACATGAATTATTGTATCTAATCAAAATATACAAATAATGAACGTAATTTTTATTAAAAAAACAACAAAATGGGGCATCGGTGACCGCAACGGTTTAGGCGTTGACATGGCGCTCATCCCTGTAAGGAAAAGGTCCCGGGTTCGAATCCAGTGGCCCTGCATTCGAACCCGACATATTTACAAATGGGCTTTTTTTTTCAAAAACACCAGCACCCTGAGGGTTTATAAGATCTCTGCTGTTGCGAACCCTCGTTAAAAAAAAAATAAATAAATAAATAAAATATAGTACAAAAATTAAATAAAAATTTCTGCTCAGAACTGCCAGTTTTGGACGTTTAGGAAAGCCAAAATGAAATATATATCAATATTACATTTAAAAATATGAGTTATTTATACATCATACTAGTATAAAGTAATCAAAATACAAAAAAATCTGAAAGTAACTTATCATATTTATTTTTTACTGCTATGAATCTATGACACATCGGATATACCAATGACCAAACGATATGTTTATCGGGTGATACTCTGATAGGCGTATGCCTAAGATGCAATAGTTCTCTAGATTTAAGATTTGCCATCTAATACCGAGTGTATAACTAATTTACTAAACTGTTCTAATCGCTCTTTCTTATAAGTATCAGAGTTATTTCTTTCCCTGAACTCCTCGCTATTTCAAACAATTTCCGATATTCGATAAGGGCACATTCCTCACAGGAATGTTGCAAATCGATAAAATCTCGTCTTCATTATAATTTGATGTTTAATTTATTCAGCGTATTTCCTCTAATAACCTCTAAATCTTACAACTAATAGTGTTTTGAAACGGCCAATTTTAACAAAGGTCTAGTCTTGCCTGAATAAATTATAATATATAAAACATATAAATTATAACATAATTATTATGCCAATATAAACAAAAAGTTATACATTTATACAATTAACTAGTAATTTTGGTTCGAATGAACACAGAATTGCTTTTCATGAATGAAGTTTCCTTTTACGATTCACCAGCTAAAGATAAACCCAGTCGTTAAAAAATTATGTCTTTTAGACTAATGACTGACGACCACATGATATAAAACCACTTTTCATTTTTAACCCTTCAACGTTTGGTTGATGAAAATTATTATCTTCTATTATTATTTATCCCTAGGTCCCTCGTTTTCAAATAATTAGTGATTTGTTCAGGTATTGTGGAATCTGATTATGATATAATACTCATTGTCCAATGTATTACAAAGTTAAATCAGGACCCGACCAGGCCAAACTTTAAATCTAGCATAAATAGTCAATCGAGTTGAAATGAGTTGTAGATAAAATAATCCATCTTTGAAAAAAAACCATATTTATAAACAAGTCCAAAAGTCACGATAGCTCAAGTGGTAGAGCAGCGGCCGATTTAGCCGAAGGTCGTGGGTTTGAATCCCGCTCATGATACTAACTTTTTCATTTCAACCAATACCTTACATAAAGATTAATTAATTGAAAGATGTTATTTGGTCAATCGGACCACGAAATCTAATGGATTTTATAAACAAATAATATTATGAGTCACAAACAAGCCTTCTTTCGGGCTCCAAGAATTTTTAGAATAGTTTGGCTACTATAAAACGAGATTGTACAAATCAAAACATGAAAACATCCGGAGATTTGCCTTCTCATCTCACCCATCTTCTCACCTTCTCATTTTTTTCACGTACATATTCCCAGCCCTAATTCAGACTAAACCATCGTTAATTTTTCCGTAATTGTTTGATTAAAAGACTGGTATACTAATAAACAAATAAAAGAAATCTTCAATTCCGTAGTGAAAATAAATTAGTTTCAGTAGCGATTTTTTAAATTTTAAATAAAGTCCATTCTGTTTAGTGGTCTGATTGACTAAATTACTTCTTTCAATTAATTATTCTTTTTATGTAAGGTCTTGGTTGAAACGATAGCTCAAGTGATTAGAGCAGCGGCGTATTCAGCCGAAGGTCGTGGGTTCGAATCCCGCTCGTGACCGTAAATTTTTCAATTCAACCAAAACCTTACATTAAAAAATAATTGAAACATTTAATTAAAGTGTTATCATTAGTCTATTTTTCACCAAAAAAAAAGAGTAATAAATATCACCCTGATCAACAAACGTCAACTTTAAAAAACACAATTAATTAAGGTTTTTTTAAGTTGAGATAAAAAAGTCAATGGCACGAGCGGGAATCGAACCCACGATCTTTGGCTAGATACGCCGCTGCTCTACCACTTGAGCTCATCCCTCTCGTGCCATTGACTTTTTTATCTCAACTAAAAAATCTTAATTAATTGTAATATATTAATTGGTCAAGCGAACCACGAAATTAGTGAATTTAATGATTTAAAATGAAGTACACTTCACTAAAGCTCTCCGTGGCCATTTCATTTGTCGTCGAGAATCCAATCCGATCACACGACATTTGAAAAATGACAAAAAGGAGGGAAAATTCAAAAGGTGGGGTTGAGATGGGAAGTTAGTGTCCGAGTGGATCGAGGTCACGATAGCTTAAGTGGTAGAGCATCGGTGTATCTAGCCGAAGATCGTGGGTTCGAATCCCGCTCGTGCCATTGACTTTTTTTATCTCAACTAAAAAACCTTAATTAATTGTAATATATTAATTCGTCAAGCGGACCACGAAATTAGTGAATTTAAAAAACAAGTTCACTGGAAATCTGGGTAGTGAATAAATCGAATTGATAGGTTTGCATATTAATGATTACAATATGTATCAATTAAAAACGATGTTAACTGTTAAATAAGTTGTTAACCCTTTATTTGTGATTTACAACTGCATAATTTATGTTTTGCATATTGTAAACGTCATTGTTGTTTACATTTATATTCAAATATCATTTTACATGAGCCACTAGCTGTAGAACCCAGTGATTTTTTTACACTGAAACCTTTTCAATAATCTCCACAGAAATGGAAGTTTTAGAAATTGATTATCTTGAACTTTTTTAAGGGGGTTCGCAACATCGGAGGTCCTTTCGCAGGTGCTTTCTGTCAAAAAAGAGTATGTTGGTACGTGATGTGTCGCTTTGTCAACGTTCTAAACACTGCGACCTCCGACGCCTGCTAAAATTTATTATTGAAAGATGATATTTGTTAGAACCATAGAGAGCATGTCGAGATTATGATTGAATTCATACCGTTTGGATTTGGGATGGTCGATCCAGAGAGGGTTTTGTAATAGATCAATGTTGTTTTTACTGTTGTTGTGCTCAGTTTCTGCAGTGAATTTTATTGTTGTTGAAGTCTTACTATATGTTTTCACTTGTGTATATGGGTTTTGTTGTGTTTTTCTAATTTAGGGAAGTATTACTTTTTTTAAATTCTTCTACTAGATTGGCTGAAGTGTGGCCCTACTTAGTCAACCTAGTAGAAGTATTCTTTAAAAAAATCTTTATTTAGAAAACTGGCGCAAGAAAAAATGTTTAATCGTTCTGTAAAATGTATTATTTTCATTAGAATAGTTAAATAATTTGTCATTAGTAGAGTATGTAAAAAAACTCAAAATTCCCGCAGTCCTTAAAGTTTTTATTTGAGGGTGTATATCATATACAGCAGGGTGTCGTTTGTAGATGGCCCGGCTTAATTTCTCTTGAACCAATGACTCTATTAAAAAAAAAATTTAAAAAAAGTGCTAATATTTTTTAGTCTAGTTTCAAATATTTACCATTTTTTGTAAATCAAACCCAGTTCAACATCAAAATTGCAAATACGACGCTATATGCTGATCATTTTAAGGGATTTTTTGCTTTGAAAACAAAGTTCCACAAGGAGCTGAATATTTTACTGTATGTTTGCAAAAATCCAAATTCATCTGTCCAAAATGATGGAAAGATTTTAGGTTTTTCAAAAAATAAAATTAGAGATGTGCCACTTCCGGGATAGGTGGATAAGTCATGGCCCGATCTGTTGGCCTCCTCGGTTACCCGATTCAACTCCACTTGACTATTTTCTGTGAGGCCATTTA